GACAACAACAGGCGCAATTGTTGTAGGGTGTTTGATTAAACTTGCGAAAGCATCAACTAACTGATAAAATATCCTGGGAAGGTCAGCAGATTGGATTGCTCCACGAGGCTGCTGGTTAAAAAGCTGTTGACCCACGTGAAAGTATAGTCAAATTTCATAGGACTGAACCTATTATTATTTTTTGGTCTGGTGATGAATTTAATAAGGGGTTTTGATACAGCGTTTTTAAAATAGCTGTTAAGATGTTTGAAAACTTGGTCAGATTTTGTATGATTTTGAATTGAAGCTTAACATCACTTGTAAGAAAAGTGGTGAAAACCTCCAGCAAAGGTAAAAACAGAGTTGGAATAGAATTCACTATTATAACTGAAAATGGTGAAAGATGGTGTTTACATTCCAAGTGATTCCAAAATCAGTAAACCTCGATTTCTGTGATGTTATGATGTCAGTCTATATAAGTCCAGTATTGATGTGTTTCAAATGTTTAAGATATTGCCGAGGCAAACAAGGATGTCCGATATGTGCGAAAGAGCGGGACATAAAACCAACGATTACTACAATGATAACAGAAAACCTCTCCTATTTTGAACGAAGAAATTAAACACCCGAAAGGAGATGAAAATATAAGACAAAGAGAAAACTTGGATCATAGAAACTTTCCAGTTCTGAATCCTACAAGAAGAGCTTCAGAAGCCAGTAGACCAATTGCAGTGAACGAAAGATATTTATGTAGTATCTACTTGTTCCAGCCAATTGGAATATTGGACGTTATGAAACAACTTATTGGCAAGACAACTTTCACCCAGAAAATGAAAGATGTAATTATAGAAGAAATCCAGAATGCAACCCAGGAATCTGGGGAATCCGATCATGATGTAGATAATCAATACCTTTTGGAAGATGCACATGCTAATGTAGATGAACAAACCCAACATGAAAATAATCCAATTGAACATAAGAAACTTTAGCAATCTTAATAAATAACGAAAACCCGGATGTTTTATTAATTAAGGAGACATAGCTCAAGGAAGACAATGCTTTGAAGGTCAAATACTATATATAACACACAGATTGGATAGAGATGATGGAAAAGGAGGTATTGCTATCTTGCTCAAAGAAGACGTACCTCACACTAAATGTAACATGAATCGGGTGACAGACCTACGGAATATTGTCAGCGATAAATAATCGGATTAAGGATGAGTGCATTGAATTAGATATAGAGGAACTTTATATTGTCCTTCAAGGAAAACAGGATACAGCGCCAGGAGAAGACGGAATTACCCTATTTTGTCAAGACTACCGCCATTTATGAACACTAACTTTTTAATGGAATCCTTAGGAATCATAAGTTCAAATGAGCTGAAATTTTCAGGGATTGTATAGTCCTTTGAAAGGGCTAAAATTCAGTGAAAGTTTCAGCTTTCTATTTATAATAGAAAAAAAGTTATGACCTTTCAAAGTTTTTCAAAGTTTAAATCATAAGGTAGCTACCATCTTACTAAAACGATGAAATTTCAAATTTTTTTTTGTTGAGATTTTGTATCCTAATGGTCAATGAACATCCCCCACACTCCATACACTAAATTATTCTCAGATTTGATGCCGAAATCTATGAAAAAAGGCACTCAGAAAAATTGAAAAATTGATAAATCACCCCAAAATTGCTTAACACAATTTTATCTCAGGAATCACTCCTTAGACAGGAGACAGGTATCCCACAGGCGCGGAGAAACTAAATCGTCATCCCACTTAAAAAACACAAGAAAAACTCCAAAGACTTTAAAACATACAGACCAATAGCTTTGACATTGTGCCTTGGTAAATTCATGGGAAAGCATGGTGAATACACGTTTATAACATTTCTAGGAGAAAAAAATTTATTGTAATGTGTTACATGTGAATTACGGGCCCCACGTTGGGCGCCAAAATGTTACGCTTAAACTTCCTTGAGAACCTAGGAAAGGAGTGCCAAGGGAAGTCAGACCAAAAAATAAAAATAAACAAATAAACAAAACCCTTAAGCTGCGGCCTGCGTAACAAATGCTTGCGACAGCTCGTCGGCTTGGGACTGGGATCCAATTATCCAGGGCGCCACTAGTTTGAAACAATACCCGCAACCCCAAACTAGAAGGTGCTCGAATACTTAAGGGTTTTCTCTGTAAAGAGTTTATATCAATTACGACTAAAACTTTAAATTCCTGTGTAAATTGGGCCCCACGTTGGGCGCCAAAATGTAGGAAAGGCGGCAGAAAATTTAATCGAATGAAAAGCTTCTACGAATCTAGTACAAATGATAAGGAAATGCTGAATTTATTCGCTCACAAACGTTACATGTTTCGTGAACGTAATTCACATGTAACAAATGTAGTCCAAGACAATCTGGTCATTTTGGCCAATTCAATTTACACAGCATTTACCAATAATGAAGTGATAGTGTGTTCTTTCATAGACATTCGGGCTGCTTATGATAATGTATCATTGGAAATTCTTAGAGAGAAGTTGCAAGGAGCCAGGGTTAATGAATGGATTGTTGAGTATATACATAGTGGAGCACGAAAAACTTCCCACCCAGATTTTCTTGGGTATCAGGTAATACATACCTTCTAACACATATAACACCTGAGTGAGAAGTCACCTAAGTGGGAAGTTGTATATAACTTGTACTCAGATAGAAATATAACCATAAGAGACCCTTTTTATGGAAACTTAATGGATCCACGAAAAGTATACATGGAGTTGCCGCAACATGTACACCAATCAAATTCAGGAAATCGTGGCTGGAGGCTTATGCATTGCAATATGCCGATGACATTGTACTATTTACAGCAGGTAAAAAGGTGCAGGTTGCTTTGAACAGATTGACAGGATGGCTAAGGGGTCATAACATGGATATTTCAACAGAAAATACTAAAGCTATGTTGTTTTCCAAGAGTAGCAGAAATATTTCAAGGGTGTTAAGCTGGCCACAGACATGTTTGTCGTGAATTAAAAATCAGCTCAAAATATATCGATATCTGTCAAGAAATTGTCTGGAATTTGATTCTATCGTTTGAAGTACAAGGTTTGAGTGTTTTCTAATGGTAAACATAGGATTTTAGTCTTCACTCGTTTTAAAATGGTCATAACTTTTGAACGATTCAAGCTAGCGAGTTGCGGTTTATTTTAAATTAAAAATCAGCTCAAAATATATCAATATACGTCAAGAAATTGTTTGGAATTTGCTTCTATTGTTTGAAGTATAAGGCTTGAGAGTTTTCTAATGGCAAACATAGGATTTTAGTCTTCACTCGTTTTGAAATGGTCATAAGTTTTGAACGATTCAAGCTATCGAGTTGCGGTTTATTTTAAATTAAAAATCAGCTCAAAATATATCAATATACCTCAGAAAATTGTTTGGAATTTGCTTCTATCGTTTGACGTACAAGGCTTGAGAGTTTTCTAGTGGCAAACATAGGATTTTAGTCTTCACTCGTATTAAAATGGTCATAACTTTTGAACGATTCAAGCTAGTGAGTTGCGGTTTATTTTAAATTAAAAATCAGCTCAAAATATATCGATATCTGTCAAGAAATTGTCTGGAATTTGATTCTATCGTTTGAAGTACAAGGCTTGAGAGTTTTCTAATGGCAAATATAGGATTTTAGTCTTCACTCGTTTTAAAATGGTCATAATTTTTGAACGATTCAAGCTATCGAGTTGCGGTTTATTTTAAATTAAAAATCAGCTCAAAATATATCAATATACCTCAGAAAATTGTTTGGAATTTGCTTCTATCGTTTGAAGTACAAGGTTTGAGTGTTTTCTAATGGTAAACATAGGATTTTAGTCTTCACTCGTATTAAAATGGTCATAACTTTTGAACGATTCAAGCTAGTGAGTTGCGGTTTATTTTAAATTAAAAATCAGCTCAAAATATATCAATATACTTCAAGAAATTGTTTGGAATTTACTTCTGTCGTTTGAAGTACAAGGCTTGAGTGTTTTCTGATGGCAAACATAGGATTTTAGTCTTCACTCGTTTTAAAATGGTCATAACTTTTGAACGATTCAAGCTATCGAGTTGCGGTATATTTTAAATTAAAAATCAGCTCAAAATATATCAATATACCTCGGGAAATTGTTTGGAATTTGCTTCTATTGATTGACGTACAAGGCTTGAGAGTTTTCTAATGGCAAATATAGGATTTTAGTCTTCACTCGTATTAAAATGGTCATAACTTTTGAACGATTCAAGCTAGTGAGTTGCGGTTTATTTTAAATTAAAAATCAGCTCAAAATATATCAATATACTTCAAGAAATTGTTTGGAATTTACTTTTATCGTTTGAAGTACAAGGCTTGAGTGTTTTCTAATGGCAAACATAGGATTTTAGTCTTCACTCGTTTTAAAATGGTCATAACTTTTGAACGATTCAAGCTAGCGAGTTGCGGTTTATTTTAAATTAAAAATCAGCTCAAAATATATCAATATACGTCAAGAAATTGTTTGGAATTTGCTCAGAATGCTATTAGATGCTAATGCTTATAAATGATGTTGATTTTTTCAGGCACATGCATAATTTATTCCTATTTCCCTGGCGTTTCCAAACGTAACAGCAAAAAATACCTACCCTTTCCTAAATGGAACTTAACCTATTAGCAACCTCGATGCACTAGAGGACATAAGTGAAGGAATCTGGCTGATTGTTGCTTGACAACAAGGGGCCATTGGTAAACAGGAAAAAGAAGAAGCTGTTCAAGTACCATACTTGTCCAAAAACAAGTTTACTACTGCAAAAACTTGTACTTATTTTGGAAAGTTGCACTTATTACTTGTAAGAGTTTCATAGCAAAGCACTAGTTTCCTAACAAGTATCGTACTTGAACATCAAGTATCAAGTATGATAGTTGTACTTTCTCCTTCCTTGATGGCCCAAGCCTCATTAATCTTGCAAGCATAGAGCACAGTCATTGCTGGTTACTGAAATTATTAAAGGATATTGGAATTAGGGAAAACAAAAAAAAAAACAGCCGAATAAATTAAGTTGTTGTCATCGTTATTATTAACATAGAATAAAATTACATTTTTAATATTTACATGTATACAATCGCTATACACTTTTTCTTTTGAAATGCCAATATTTGGCACTCGAAAAAAAAAAAATAAGTGAGAGTACTACCCTCCGTTTTTTTTTTTTTTTGCATTCTTATTTTAGGTTTTACTTATCTGGCCAATCGATTTCACAACCCAGCATTTGATGCAAACACGTGAAAACCTTTTTTGCGTAATCGACCGGCCATCTCATCAAGAACTTTGTGTAATCTTTATCCAAGTAAAAAAAAGAGAGGTGTAAGTTTTCCCAGTTAATTTGGCTTTGAAAAAACAAAACATTCAGTCGGTCAACTCGATTAACATATACAGGGCGAGCCAAATATATATAAGCGTTTAATATTTTTTAGCATTATTAGGACTCGTTTGGTTCGCCCTGTATATAGCTTTTTTTGTTCAAAACAAAAAAAGCCTCCTCAAGTCAATATTATCAATAAACAATTTGTATACAAAAAAAAAAACTTACAATTTACGTTATTTTTTAATAATAATAAGCGCTCTATTCATTTTTGACAATCAAACCCTGAATACTTCCATTTTTTGTTTTGTTTGTTTAGTGCTTATACTCATGTACAAAAATATAATAAATTATTATTTACGTCTATTGGAAATTTGTTCTAGATATTATAAAAACAAAAACACAAAATAAACATCTGAAAAAATTAAAATGTATACACCTCTATAATAATAAAATGATTTTTGTTGTGTGTGGGTAACGGAAATTATTGTAAAACGCTATGTATATGTATAGTAGTACGATAAACGTAACGTGAGGGTAAAACAAATTAGTAACAAGCTAATCTCAGCGGAAATATTTAGACAATAATCTTCTATTTGGTCATATTGAGGGAAGGTTAAAAAAAATCGTCGCCATCTTGGATTTTTTCAAATAACTCCGTTCGGGTTGGGGTTTTCAAAAAAACTGAAGAGACAGTTTTTGTAGAGAATGAAATTATGAACATTTTATCTCTTAACAGTTTTTCTCTAAAAATGACGATAGAGAAGATATGACTATTTTACAGTATCGATTTGACATATTTTAATTTTTGTATACATACACAAAATGCATAATATTAACCGAATACCTGATAATACACAGTTATAGTTCGTATTAGCGCAAAAAATATATATAAAAAATTGAAATATATGTCAAATCGATACTGTAAAATGGTAATATCTTCTTTATGGTCAACTTTAAAGAAAAACTGTTATGAGATAAAATGTTCATAATTTTATTCTCTACAAAAACTGTCTCTTCAGTTTTTTCGAAAAATCCAACCCAAACGCAGATATTTAAAAAAATCCAAGATGGTGACGATTTTTCTCAACTTTCCTCCACTGAGACTTTTGAAGGCTCAAATAGGAGACTATTATCTAGAAATTCCCGATAAGTTCAGCTTGTCACTAATTTGTTCCACCCGCACCTCCCAGATTTACCCGGCCAAATGGGATTCTAGAAACTTTGTATCAATGTACAATTTTAATTGAGGATTTGTTAATTTTGTTGTAACAGTGTATACGCAGCTATAATAACAATAATTTCCGTTTCGACAATAATAATTTAAAATAGTAAAGAATAAATAAATAAAAAATTGTAGAAAATTTGTAATGGAAAAAAGATGTACACAAGAGTTATTTCAGGCACACTCTGGAGACACTCTGTTGCGTCGCTTTGCTTCGGACGCTGGACTAGATAATACTGGAGACCGCAACAGGATGCGGCGGCAGTTCTATGTACACTAATATACGTAGATTTAATAAATTAAAAGTCTTGTAGCGAGTCGTTGCCCAGCAGTCGTTTGTCGGGCGGCGGTCTGGGCGGCTGTTTGGGCGGACGACACCGACACCCCGATCTCGAGTGTCGCTCGTAGCACAACTCGACTGCCCTTTTTGCACCGCGCAACGGCCAATAGAGCCACAGACAAGGTAGAACGCACGCGATTCCGGCCAAACAACTCCAGCGGGCGAACCTGCGGTCCGGTCCGCAACTGCACGGATCGTCCGCCGCCGTGTTCTCGACATCATCCGCTTCGGAACAATGGTAAAACAGTCCTTTGACGCAACACAAGCACGACGCATAGTCCACAATAGTGTCCGCCGAAAGCAGACACGCTCCGTTACACGACCAATATTGCGGCAAGGGTTTAGGAGCTCGACACGTCGCACACTTGCACCTACCGCAAACCGTACACATGATGGATGGTCGCGAGTTTGCGCACGCAGCCGGTACCGCTTGCGACGACGTTTTACTAAACGATATCGGCTGTTTGCTGATTGGCCCCTGAGGGGGAGCCGGCGCCGGTAGCCGGTGGACCGGCGCCGGAGACGATGCGGCGGTAAGGGGACCCCTGAGCGGCGTCTCGACGTACTCATTGTCGCGTCGTTCCGCCTCGGGCCTGGGCACCGTCAACGATACGGAAGTCAGGGGCGGCGGCGACGATGGACGCAGGGCGATCAGGGGAATGTTTATCGGCACTGGCCCGCTAATGGGGCCGCGCTGAGGGGCTGAAGGGAAGTCATTCCCATCCATCCCCGGCCCTGGGGCGCTTAGCGGCAACCTAAGGCGGTCCGGCCGATATCGTGCGTGGCCGTCATCGCTGCTGCTTTTCTTTTCTGTAACAATAGAATAAAATACATTATTCACAAGAATACGTCATTTGATTGATAAATGCAATACATTGTAAAGCCAGCTTAATAGTTATATTTGTCCTTGTTCCTGTTTCAAGTTAGAAAGAGAAACCTTGAGATTTTAAAACCTAAACAGATGTTGAGAAGTGTGTATTGTGCTTTATAGAAAACTAATGTTTAGACTGAGACTTTTGGGAGTTCTTGAGCATAGTTCATACACTCGCAAATTGCGAATCATGATGCTAGCTGACGTCACACACATAACCTCAATGACATGTTTGTCCCCCCCAATCGAAAGTCACCATAAGTCAAGTTATGTCATTCATTGGTGACAAGCTAGCGCCTGTGTGTTAAATAGACATTTCAAACGCTTGGTTTGTCCCCCCAATGAAATTGAGGTTATGTGTGTGACGTCAGCTAGTGCCTAATTGCTGAGATCCTTCTAAGCAGTAACAACATTATATTTTTTAAGATACTGGATCCACACAACATAGAAAACACGGCACCTTGTTGAGCCCAGGGACTAAACTGCTGGACAAATGAAACGGAACAAGCGAATTTTTAGGTTAACTTCAAATTCCAATATTACGCGAACTGAAAATAATATCAATGAGCAGTTCGCGAAAACTAACTTCTAAATTATGCGAATCATTCATTGATAACTTCTTCAGTTCGCGTATTATTGGAATCCAAAATTAAATTAAAAATTCGCTTGTTCCGTTTCATCTGTCCAGCAGTTTATTTTGGCATTTTGACGATTCCCGCATATTTCCTATTCAATTTGATGGAGGAGGGGGTAATAACCCTGCTCCGGAGGTGGGTAAATACCGGTTATGGAAATGTCAAACGATGACGTTATAATTGACTTGTTAGTGACGTCATTAAATATAACCAGATTTAACCAAAATCGCATTAACTTGAAAATGTCACCCCCCCCCCCCCCAGCTTAATGGTAAACATTCTTCAACATGAGACCTTATGGGAGAAATTTTCGTTTTTTTCCCTGTAACTGACAAAGTGACACAAACATGTCAGCTCTTTTCACGTGGCTCTGGTTTAAGAAACCACAACATACCGCTCAAATTCGAGTGGCATCAATGACGTCACTTTGTGACCAAGTTAGGAAAACAACTATACCTGACCTTTAACCTCATTGCCCTTAAATCGAATTAGACATTTTCCTAACCGTTCTTTTTCGAGTGTCACTTTCAATGACCTCATCACTTGACATACCGCTACTAACCGTTTTGTAACCCGGTTAGTTTAAACCAGAGCCACGTGAAAAGGACTATTATAAAGCCGGCCTAATAGTTTACTTGTTGTCACCTCCGGTAATTTGTTCAACTACACACTCGTATATTCTTGTCCTTGTTAACGTCTCAAGTTAGAAAGAGAAGCCTTGTAATTTTAACACTCGGACAGTGATGTTAAGAAGTGTGAATCGTGCTTTATCTATAGTTGAGTCAAATCCAGGTGGCAGTAATGACAGTGACGTAAACAACTGGTAATTTTCATTACAACCTATCAAATGTCCTCCGTGCATGCGCACTGGCCCTGGCAGGGCTTTTCAACCAATAGAAAGGCTGGTGTTAGTTTACCATTTGGGTTAATAAATGTCATCACTGCCGCTTGAATTTGGAAATGTTATAGAAACTTCATGCATAGAGCGACATTTCTGGGAGTTTTTAATCATTCAGTAACCTTGACAGATAAACCAATAGGCATTTGTTGACAAATAACGTTTAATCCATTATTCATCTGTCAACTGAAACCGACCAATCAAACGCTTGAAAACCTCTCTGTTCTATATCCGTAAATTGCAATAGGGTGATCTATTATGGATGTCACCCCCAGCCATATCAGGGTTGCATTTAGAAATAGCACTCTGGGTGTGAGAGTGACCCTAGAGTAATTCTAAACCGTTCATAAATTACCAGTTGCTTACTCGGAGCGTTACGTTGGAATCGTTTAGAAATCGAGAGTTGACGCGCCCAAGGGCCTTATTCTGTAAAGAACGAACCGTTCGATTCGGTAGAATTTCTTCGATTGTGACGTCATTTTCGGTTTGGTAGCGTGAAAATCAAACCGAAAATGACGTCACAATCGAAGAAATTCTACCGAATCGAACGGTTCGTTCTTTACAGAATAAGGCCCCAGAGTACGCCCAAATCACCCCACTCAGGGACTGGGTTGAAAAACGCCCCGTGTTTTTTACCGAGTTTGACGTTGACATTTACCACAACACCCCGATACGTTCAAAAATAGTGCTCTCCAAGTGATGACGTCAGAACACTCTGACAAACAACTACTCTACCCTCACGCTTCATTTCTAAACGCACTCCAGACCTTATGGCAACGAGCTTTCATGTTTTTCCCTGTAACTATTTTATCGAAGATAAATATATCAAATTGTATATCGTTAAGGTTAGAATTGCAACTTTGCTACACTTTTTTGACGCACCCTGTATGCTGAAAACTTTCGATAATTCCTTAAGGGTCGGTATTTATAATATCTGGTTGACCGAAGGTTGAGTGTCAAATCAACCAGACATTATAATACTGGCCCTAACACTTCTGTCAAAAACGTCAAATAAGAAAGCTAGAATGGGGTCAAGGTTATTCGGAAGAGGTAGGTTGCCCGATAACTTTTATGACGTCATCTGAAGTGCTCAAACCAATTAACTATTAACTACACGTACCTGGAATGGTCGCGCCGATCTATAAAATTGAAACAGAGATGGATAATATGACAAGTACCTGTCTCTATTTATCTTATTGGCGAACTATGGAAATCTTCCCTTGTTTAAAAAATATTATATTTGAGGTTAGGGATATACCAAACCTAACAGCAATGAACTAGAGAGAAAAATCTAGCCATCACTATACAGGGTAGTCCAACAAGTCAATAGTAGCCAAACCGTTGAGCTTATGGAAAAATGTTTTAGAATTTCATCTCTGCTATAAGCCAAAATTATTTTCAAGTATACAGGGTGTCGCAAAAAAGAGTAATCACAAATTTTATGTTTTTTTTTTTTAATGGAATATCGTATGCTTTTATATGGCAAATGAAGCCTCTGTATTCAACTTTAAAATCGTATTTGGGTTAAATGCAGCGTTGCCAAGTTATGAAAAAAATGTACCTAAACATACTTTTTTTAAATTGTCATGTCTCCGCCACGGTACAATAATTTCCCCTAAAAATTTACATGTAATCTAATGTTAGCCTAGCTGCTCCTACATTATCTTCATTTTTTGATTTAAGTATACAGGGTGTCCAAAATATTTGTCTAGACATGTTAATTTTTAAGGTCCATTTCAATTGAGTTTTTCGAATACAACACACCGTATATTATCTTTCCATCGGAAAGCTGAAAATGTCCTCTTTCAGAAAATATCATATTTGCCGTATTTACATTTTTCTGTAACTTCAACTGGACTGTTGGACTACCCTGTATAGCTATTTTTGGACACTCTAAGGACTAGTTTATCAGTGGATGGTTATCTAGTTAACTACTGATAATGATTAGTTAACCAACAGCTAGACTACATAACCTTTCACTGATAAACCTGTCCTAAGAGAGAGACAAATAATGCTGACAACAGTCCAGTTACGTGTAGTATATAGTTAATTGCCATTCAGTAATCTTGACAGATAAATCAACATTGTTGACAAGTTACGTTTGATTTATTGTTTATCTGTCATCAATTGTGACCGACCAATCAAATGTTTGGGTTAGTTGTTTGGTCGTTTTCAGGTATCATACTTGAAACCAATGACACTTTACTGTGAAACCTACATCTGTACAGGGTGATCTATTATAAATGTCACCACTCAGCTTAAATAGTAGACTTTTCTTGCTTTAATATAAGACATTATTGAAAAGGTTTTTGTGTTTTCTCCTGTAACTGTTGAAATCAGATTGAAGGGGACTAACAAATAAGCACACAATATACATTGTGTTCCATTTGAAAACATATAACTTTGACGCACCCTGTATGCTAAAAACTTTCAATAATTTCTTCAACTTCCGTCAAAAAAATCGAATAAAAAAAGTAAGGAGAGGGTGACATTTACAATACATTACTTTGTACTTGATGTTCACTGGTTTTCAAGCAATTATCGAACTTTGAACATCAAGTGTAGGTAAAGGTTATTAAGTAGGATACTTGAAATTGAATGAATTGCTGTGATAAGTAAATCACTCATTTTCAGGTACCTATGTAATATACTTAAAACTTGATGTTCTAGTAAGATCCTGGCATCACAAGTATGGTACTTGAACATCAAGCATAGGTTAAGGTATCAAGTATGATAACTACCTGGAAATTAGTGAATTGTGTGATTTTTCAAGGTAATGATTGGAACTTATTTTCAGTTATCATACCGTATTGTACTTGTACGATAATTTTGGTACACTGATTTTCAAAGAAATATTGTACTTGAACATCAAGTATAGGCAAGTATAGGTATCAAGTATAATACTTAGAATGAATGAATTGTTGAGTTCAAATCATTACTTTCAAAAGCCACACAATTTATTCATTTCCAGGTATGTATCATGCTTGATGCCTTTATCCATACTTGATGTTCAAGTGCGGTACTTCCACCAAAAGTATAGTACTTGAACATTAAGCATAGACTAAGGTGTCAAGCGTGATACCTATCTGGAAATGAGCGTAACTTTTGTAAGCAATCTGCTTCTGGTAAGCAAAAATGGAAAGTAGTTATTGACTTCAGAGGCGTCAATGCAAAGACCATGCCAGGTAGATACCCTCTCCCTAATATCACGGACCTTCTGGCTAAACTAGGGAAGTGTCAATATTTCACAACATTGGATTCCATCAAATACAAATAAAATTGAAAAAACGGCATTTAGTACAAAAAATGGCCATTTCGAATTTCTAAGAATGCCCTTCGGTTTATCCAATGCCCCCGCCACATTCCAAAGGGTCATGGATGCAACTCACACATTTTCAAGTTATAT